ACTATACTCGTATATTTAAACACGAACTGACAGTTCAATGATTCAGTTGACGTTTGAGAAAGTAATTTGAATTAGTTGAATTCTCAGGCTCTATTGCGAATGAATCTAATTCAAATACAATTGTTGTTATAAATTACTCGTGGGAAATAAGTTTGTTTAAGTGAGCCGAAGGTGAGCGTCGTAAATCATTCAAGCAAGCAATAACAGTAGGAAGTAACATTGATATTATTGTTATTTATTTTATTTTATTTCAAATAGTTCGGTCGGTAGCCAGGCGGTTCGACGTGGGTGCTTTGTTCACTCATTCGAATTGACTGCCGTGTTGGTTAGTGGTTCAAGCCCTAGTCTGAACGATTCATTTTCACTTACTATCGTCCAACCCGTGTTAGGAATCACATGTTAAAAGATAACACCTCGTTAATCCTTAGCTCGCACAAGTTTAGACATCTGAGGGTTGTTGTTCGTAGGGGTGCGACAGCTGGTTAACGGAAAAACAGATTTTAAACAGAAACAGAGTTCGATTATTGGATGATCAAAAAAACTTGATGAGACTTGAATCTAGGACCACTGACATTCGAGTCCAGCTATGTAAGTTTCTAATAAATCTCATTTTGTTACTACCTAAGAAATGAATTTTTTAAGTTCCAATTTTTTAGTCACAAATTTCTGGAAAATTGAATTTTCAATTTTCTCAAACAATTCGTATTTATTTATTCATCAACGTCTATTTTGTCTTCTCAATAGAGCCCCTCATAGGAACAATACAGTTGTGCCAACATTTTTTCCAATCCTCGAAACAGTTCTGATGTGCACTTTTTGGTATATCCTTGAGCTCTCTATTCAGTTTTAATCTCTTCCATCGTCGCAAAACGCCGTTCTTTCATGGGTCTCTTCAATCTTGAAAAAAGAGAAAAGTCGCAGGTGGCCAAACCTGTTGAATATGGTGGCTGAAGCATGATTACGGTGTTGTTTTAAGCCAAAAATTACGAACAAGCAATGACGAGTGAGCAGGTGCCATGAATTGTTTTCCACAATACGATTTCTTCGTATTGCTTCTCGCAAGCGGCGCATAAAAAATCTGTTTTAAAATATGTTTTTTCGTTAATCAGCTGTCGATGTCACCCCCATACGAATGACAACTCTCAGAAGTTGAGGCACTTGTGCGAGCTAAGGACTAACGAGGTCTTACCTTTTAACGTGTGATTCCTAACTTCAAGATGATACTCCTTATTGACCGTTTGACCATGTGGCAAGATCTCCCGATGCACTACGCCACGGTCATCGAAAAAAAAAAAAACAATGAGCAAACCTTGGCTCTTCCTTTGGAGCGATTAGACTTAGGCCTCTTGAGCAAATCTGGATCGCCGTTGAAGTCATACAACATTTCCTGAGATATGCTCATGTGACGGTTTTTTGGTCAAAATTCGGCAATTTTGGAACAAACTTCGCTTCATACCCAAAATTTTCGAAAAAATTGCATGGTATGAGTCAACCTATATGCCGACATTCTCAGAAAATTCTCTAATGGTGATTCGATGATTCTCCATAACAATTGTCTTCACTTTCTCAACATTTTCATCAGTTGTTGATGTGCTCGGCCTTCTGTGAAAAGCTTGTAACACTTGATAATATTTTTCTGACAGTACAATCACAGTATGCCACTGTCAACATTTAGAGTGTTTTTGAGCACTTATTTTCATTTTTTACACAAAATTTGATCAAATTCTCCAATCAATTTTTTTCAATAGCAGAAAATTGTTGAACAAGCAAAACAATTCCAAGTTTTATGCCTATCACCTATGAACTAAACATGCTAAACAACTGAAAGTGTGAATTATTAAGGTAACAAATTAAGAACAGAACAACAACACACAATTAGTATTAATTCAATTCCGAAAATTCACAAACTGACAGCGTCATACCAATTTAATTGTCACTATCGCTAATAGCGAACTACTAGATAGATTAGTTTCGTATTTTCGCATTTATGACGATGTATCTCTGTAGTTGTTCCTAAAATATTTTTTTGCTGCGAACTGGTTTATTTTGGGCAAAAAACTCAGGAGACATTTTTTGTTTGGAATAAAATAGGCTATCGGAAATAAATTTTTAAATGGTAAACAAATAATAAGACAAAAAGTTACATTGGAAATACATTTTAGAGGTTGCGTTTTCCACCTCTTACAACTGTGGGGTAAACCAAATAAATTACTGGCTAAGTGTTTTTTTGGTAGTACAAAACGTCAGGTTAATTTCAATATTGTAACTTTTTTTAGTGCTTGTGAAAAAAATTGTTATACAAATTTTATGTACCCCCTTCAAGGGGCTGTGAATTAACAAGGGCTGCTCCAATGAAGTTTCTTTATATGAAAGATCCTATCTTTTTTTCGATGAGAAATCACCTCCTTAAATGTTTAACACTTATTCAGTTACACCCTGCATACTTCAAAACAATATGTCAGCTCAATGATTTGAGTTTGAGAACATATTTCAAAGTGGGAAATGTTGAGGCTCACTTGCGATAGAAAACAATTGAAGCATTACTGCAAAGTTATGAAATTGCTCGACTGGTTCGAGTGTGTTCGAGGTGTGAGTGGCTGGAATTTGTCACTTGTGTAGAAAAAGTGGTGAATTTTCTCATTTATGATTTGCCTCGAAGCTAGTGAGTTGAGTATCTAGTTAACGGTGATTGGTTCGAAGGTGTGAGTTACGGATGATTTTGCCTACTTAACGAAAAAAAAACGGTGACGCTTTTTTCAAAAGTTATAATATCCTGTTGGTTGGAGAAAAATTATTTTGCATTTAAAAACTTTAAAAATATTATTTCGAACATATTTCCTTCGAATTAATTTGATGCGCTTGGGATGACTTGCCTCGAGGAACGCTAACGTGATTCATCAGGCGTGAATCGAGATCGTCACGCATTTTGGGCGCTTAATTTTACATCTAAAAAATAAATTAAATTGCATTCATATAACGATCTCCCGCGCTTGAAGCAAAACTTTTCGATATATAAATATGACGAAATATCGGGAAGATACAAACGAGTTCTACTGATTTCTTTTTCTAAAATTTTTTTGTGTAAAGATGGCAAAATAGAAAGTTGAAGAGCTTTTATAAGCGACATATTCACCAGTGCTTAATATTCTATTGCGTTTGCAAACAGCTGTCAGAAAGATGGTAAAAAAACAATTCCTCTTCCATATTCTTTGTTTCACTATTAGTGTCGTCATTTAAATCAACAATAAATTTATTTCCACCATTAATATGGAAGTGTCCAATATCCATAATATAAACTAAAATTACTTTTTTAATCCTTTTCTGCCAGTCTTCTTCGGTAATATTAGATACTTCTTCTTTAACTAGCTCTAATACCTTCTTATCAAATTGAGGAAAATTATTTTTACGCCTGATGCTTTGTTTCAATTTTTTCGAAATCAACTTGACAGAATTGAAAACAAAAATAGGGAGGAAAGTCTCAATATGGTGTGTCCATATTTTTCAATACTCTCAAGGGCATACACTTTTTGAAATGTTTTTGTTTGTTAAACTTCAAGTATAGTTGGTTTTTGGTATAGTTATCTTCAAAATACAAATTGTTATTCATTAAAAAACTTTGTATTTCATATTTCCTCGAATTTTTATTCGGTACTTTGATGAGCTGTCACGAATGAAGCGTTGTCAAGAACTATGACACTATTCGCATCCAAATTTGGGATCGATGTGTTTTCAAACCATTCCTCAAAAATATTAGCTTCTGTGTTCTTATGATAGTCAACATTGCAGTCCTCAAGTTTTTTTCCACATAATTTCAAAGAATTCGGAACCCATCCTTTACTTCCTCCGCAATGCACAATGATTAGTCGCGATCCTTTGTTTGCAGACATGTTAGGCGTACACATTCTCGAACCATCAGTCCACCCTTTCGTAACTGTGTCGTGAGTGTCATACCAAGATTCGTTCAAATAGAAAATTTGCTGTTGTTCTTGTCTATATTTAGTTATTTGTTCTACGTACTTGTTACGCAATTCCACTATTCTTCTGCTTTCCATAACTGCTTGACGTTTGTTTATTATTTTAAATCTAAATCCAAGTTTCTTTATCCAATTCTGAAGAATTGTGTTACAGCAGCTCACGTTATGGCCGGAAGTATTCAATTTCTTCCTTATGATTTCAGTTGTAGGAATCTCATTGCTTTTGTAACAGTCGTATATTGGTTTTTTCAATGATTTTATTGGATGAACATCTAAAGGTTTTGGTAATCCCGTATCACATCGCGTCTTGCATTCATAAGGTTTGTCTTTGACTACTTTACGTACAGTTGAGAAAGAAATTTCCGTCAAATCTGATGTTTCTTGTAATAGTTTGTTTCCCTCGAAACCAAACTTGAGATGTAGGTTCTTAGATTGAAACATACTCTCTGTGTTTCAATATTCAAATGCATCCGAATCTTATTCACTGGTATCTCTTTTTCGCATTGTTCACCATCGATGTTGGAATCACTACACAGGAAAAAGTCTGCGTTGTTATCACACTCGTTATTACTATTAGTACTTGTCCAAAGACGCCACATTTTGAACAGCAAACAAAAATTTTTAGTAATTATAATTGCACCAATATCGAATTTTAACACTCAAATCGCGATCAGTTCCTGAACTGAACATTGACGACACAAAGACGATACTTATCCCCACATTCTATATGTCACCGTAACATGACTTCAAATTTAATTTTATGATTCTTCAGCCTATCATAAAACTCTGTTAGTGAAAATTATCCAATACGAACGTCCAATTCTTCAGTCCATGTGGACTAGTTTGCAGCGGCATTATTTCTCTGTATTGGTTTTTTGGCCTTTGAGAGGCCGATAACTCTTGTACTTATTTATGCAATTCGTTCAACCGCATTCAACTTAATTTGAACCCAACAAAAATAATGATAGCAAATGGGCATCGCCTCGATGCTCTAGTAAAAAATATCTTATATAATCTGATACTCACGTTCTGAACCTGATTCGCATTTTCCACATCATCGAATTCGGAAAGCACCCGATCTAGCAACTCAATGGAACGTTGGACGTCGTCACCGGCACTGCTGTAACAAAAATAGTCCGGTTAGGAGTGAGCGGAAGTGACCTAAATATGGAAATAGTCACACAAATTGAGGTTAGGGTCTGGCAGAACAATAGACATTAGCGCAGTGCATTTTGGTGTACTTGAGAGTGAATGGATACAGTCGACGCAGTCTTCATACCTTTTACAGTAAAAACCCATTATTTTAATAATGAATTTTTATATATAGGCCCCGCATATGGTAAATCTGTAAAATAGATACACTCTATACAATAAAATTTTTTACGAGAGTGTGAAATTAGAGTTAGGATTGAAGATCATTAAAACTACCCAAGGTACTAAGAGGTCTGATAAATGATGAAATGTACCTGATGAAATATTCATGATTGAATAAATGTGAATATTCTGTTGTAGTAATGTACATTTTTGCTTATTGGACAAATCAATAATAATTACGCAACAACACCAGTGTCTTATATATTTAACCTTTGGTAGCGCTGTCACAATATTTGATCGACTTCATCTTGTCAAATTATTTTCAGTTCTGTTCAAAGTAAAGACATTTTCTTAAAAACTATTATTTTATATACAACAGCGCTTTTTATTGATTTTTTTCCAATATATTTTATTATATTTTTTCGTTCGGACTTCCATTGTTCAATATAATTCTACTGTGATTCGAAATTTATGAAGGAATAAATTAAATTAGCATGAATAGCTAAAATATCAATTATTGTTCGGGCGTTGACTGCTGACTATTGAACAGTCAATACCCGAAGACGATTGTGGATACTAACAATCGAAACGTCGTGAAGTAACTTGGTTTGAAATCATTTTAAATTTTTTAATGTATTCTTATCATTTTAATTCCTTTTAATTTGGGGTCATTTTCATTTTGTATCTTGATTATTTTATTATATTTTCATTTCACGATTTATTGCTTACTATTATTGATATTTTAGATTCTTTCTTTATTAGATTTCGAATCATAGTAGAATCATATTAGACAAAGGAAGTCCGAACTAGTAAAATTCACCATGAAACATTGTCAACCAATTTCAAACAAATATTGTACTATATATTGTTGCAGTATTCTGATTTATTTAAATATAACTCGTATGTAATCATAGAATTTAGGACAAAAAAATCTTTGTGGTAAAAATATATATTACTAGTAGATCTGGTTAGTCTCATCTTTTTTTTTTTGATGAATTTTTTATGGCTCGTACATTCATTTTAGACACTGGTAAGTAATTGGTAATTTTATATTGAAACGGTGTTTCTTGAAGGGTTTTCTATCGAAATCGTTTCTTTGAATAAATTTTTCATTGCTTAAAAATGCATATGTTGAATAACATTTTTTTGCTACTTATTTCTCTTTGATATTCTGAAAAAAAACTTTCTTTTAATTTATATTTTCTTTATTTATTTTATCTTCGTAAGCAAAACAATAGCAAAATCAATACTCCTGACCGCTCTGGACTGAATGATTCCGTACAGCCCATCTCGTCTTGTGTTTGTAAATCNCTTGAAATTTCTCAAAAAGTTGCTAGAGGTCAATCCGAATCGAATGAGACCTGGATTATAATTTTCGGTGCTCTTGGAGAGACGTTCCGAAAAAAGGATCTTGTTAACCAGACTATATCCCCATTATGGAGTCTGCAAGGTATTCATTGAAAGAAGGAGATTTGTTCTGAAACTCTTTAATCAGTTCAGGTAGAGCAACAGGATAAAACACACTTTGTAAGTAATAGGAAATATGCGGTTTGATTAAAATTTATGAGGAATTCCATCATGAAATTGTTTTACCCATTTCTGTGATAAGCAGAAAACAGGAAGTATATATAGCCAATCACAGATCTCGCTTCAAATAACTTCCCGATATGACTGTTGATAACTTTTATTTCACAAAATCTTGATAGCGTGAACGGGAAGATCATGAAATTATATTGTTCGGAATGTAAACAATTAAACGATTCTCAAATGAACGGAACTAGATAACGTGACAACCTCCCATTATGTTGCGAATAAATAGAAAACGGTCCAGCAGTAAGAGTGAAATTAATGAATCAGGAAGAAAAACATGCAAATGAAAGTCATTTGCTTTTATTGTCTGAGTAAATGTCATTTAATCCACTTTCTACTTTTTCTTTCTTCTTTGTTTCCTCGGAAATTACTTTCTGGTTGCTGGGCCTGTGAATATATTTCTTGCGATTATACTTAAGATAAATACGGTTATAAAAATTGATCTCTTCACTTGAAATCTGAACTTCACAGAGATTCATTTAGAAATGTATTGGGTAGCAACATGTTCAAAATATATTATACCATTAAAATATTCACTATTCTAATTCCCGAAAATAAGCTTAGTAGCTACGCCTTGAGGTTAATGAATTCGCACGAGTAGTAGTACATATTATATGATATTCACGTTCAGAAGAGAATGATGTCATTTTTGGTAATTTTGAATATCCGATATAACAACGTTAAAACTCCCAATGAAATGCGTTCAATAGCAGTGAAACTAGTAAAATTTCATTTTGTAAGTTGCTCAACTGATAGTAAAATTGCAGATGTTGCCGAATCTAAAATACTTTTCCAAACCACAATTGGTGAATTCAGTTGCAAAGTAAATGAGAATGTTATTTAAGCTGCATCAATACATTATAAATTTACGTTGTAGGAATAAACCACCATCTATATATGAAGCTGACACGCTTGCAGAAAAATATGGGCATGAAGTGCTTCGTCTTCCACCGTCTTCCGCATGTTTAATCCCATCGAACATATTTGGGGATTAACAAAAAATTTTCATGGAATAATGTGGGAAGAAATGGCACTTCAGCCGGACTATATAGAAAAAAGCTTTAGACAAAGCTACACCTGATGTATCGCCTGAAACTATTAGACATAACCATAAAATTATATTGGGATAGAGTAGTTGGGTTTGACAGGGAAGATGTTCAGCCTATCAGAATAAATTTCGATTCCGATGATGTAGCCAAAAAAATGTACAATTAAAATAATTTAAATAAAATATTTTATTTTTCACTATCTACTTATTATGAAAAAAAGTGAAGTGCCACTCTAATTGTATTACAAATAAGTAAGTTAATAGTAACGTCGTGACTTGTCATCTTGTGACGTAATTCTCTTCTTAACGGGAATATCCTATCCTACATTTTTTGTCATTGTGTCACATTACATAGTCCGATCTCGTTCTTAGCCGAAAGGCATGATTTTGAAGATATAAGGGCTGGAAAATTTTCCTTCTAGTAACTTCTAAGCTATTTTAGAACATTGGAGAACATCCTGGGACATCCCAGACCATTGTAAAATTATCAAAAAAGGTTATATGGTTTGGTAGCCTTCCAGAATTATTCAAATCATTATAGATCAATTGAGAGCAATCCACAACATACCAGAACATTCTGGAAGGTTCATGACTAGTCTGAAATGTTCTGGAACATTGTGGACCATTCGAACCTTTTTTGTATGGGTGGTAGGGGTATATAAAGCAAGATCTGTCGACGACTTTTAATTTCAGTTCAAAGGGGAAGGGAGCCAGGCTTCAACCTGACTAAAATCAAGATGGATTTCGGCGGCGACTTTTAATCAGAATTTCATCCTTCTATTCCAACGAATAATAGATCATCAATAGCAATGATGGGACTTTGGAGTGTTGAAACAGGGCTAAATAATATAGAATCACAAGTCATCATCAAGTTTCCTTGCAGTGAAAGACAAGACGAATCCTGTTCGTCGATCGATGCCGAAGCTTGACTTCGCAACTGGGGAGCCTTATTTCGCTATCAATCTCAAAGTTAATGAATGTTGTATTATACTATAACAATTTTCAATTGAATTGATTAATTAGCAACGTCGCACTTGAAGTGACCAACGGATAATCCTCTTACCAACTCTGCAGAGGCGTACCAAAATAATACTTTTATTTATTTAAACACATAGGTAATTACGTGAAAATTGTTATAGTAGGTGGCGCTACCTGGTGTCAATGGTAAAACTGATTACATTTTCTTATTATGCCCAATACAGTACTTCAAAAAAACAGAAAAATTTCTAAAATAATTATTATGTTCCTTATATATAGAAAGAGAACTACAAAGCAAAGAAATAATTATCTATGTTATGCTTATGAAGTTTCAGAATCCATTGACTCGTCCGAAGAGGAATCCCCAGTCACACTTAAATCTATTATTATTTGGTCGAAAACAGTGTCTACTTCGAATCTTCACATTTTCTCTTCTTCCTTGATCACATGGGCTGCAGCATTAGCCCAATCTTCTTTCCGTATCCGTTCCATTGCGAGTTCTAATAAACGTTAGACATCAGAAATATTATAGGTCACGTTTTCACGAGCTACGTAACCCTTAATGTGAGCCCAGATTAATTCTATCGGGTTTAACTCGCAATGGTAAGGAGGAAGTCTCTAAATGGTGATGCTTTCAGCACGAGCTATTGTATCCACCACATGCTGGCGATATCTGTCACGATGCTGTTTAATGACACTCATAAGCTCGGCCTTAACCATGTCCTCGGAAAATGAAATTCCTTTTTGTCCTAACCAACTCTGCATGTCTGCTTTTCTGGTGGTCATAGTTGGTAGCTATTCTACTAATCGGCTGTGATAAGAAGCGTTATCGATTACTATTACCTACCGAATTTGGTTCGACTCATGAAAGAAGGGATTCAAACCATCCTTCAAAGCGTTGGGCGTCCATGTCTTCGTGACAATCCCCCGACAAAAATTAGTGCACTATCGTCTAAAAAGCCACTCTCGCTACCTCTATGGGCGACAATTAGTCGTTGCCCTTTACCCGTTGGTCCGCGTAAACCTGTTGATAAATCGTCCACAAATGCTTGACGATGACTAGTTACAGTAGTATCTTGCCAGATCTTAGATACTGTGTGACCAGCATTCACCTAAGTTTCGTCCAGATAATAAATCTTTTTGTGAGCAAAACGCATTTCTCTAATAGAGCGAAGATATCTCCGTCGCCATGAGACTATATCTTCTCTTTCTATTAAGACCGATTTACGGGATCGTTTGGCATATATGAATTTTAAATCGTCTTTTATTATTTTCCTTAACTTTTCTTTGCTTATTTTTGGAATTAGATCATTATCCATTACCTTTGTCCTAATGGATTCGAGGGTTGGCGCTTTATTCTCAAAAAAGA